TCCCCAGACTCCAGGACTGGCTCATGTTCCTCCCCAACCTCCTCACTCTCCAAGTCTACCACCAGCTCCACTGGCAGTCCACAACAAAACCTTATACCAACCCGGTCAAAAAGTTGTCCAATCTATTGTTGAAATCCTCCAGTGATTTGAATTCAAAACACCCCATTTTGTATCCAAAAACGCTTTTGGATTCCAAAAAGTGTCTGAACACCTTTGAATCTCTTTGAAGGCAACCAAGAGCTTTTTTATGTGTCCAATGGTCACACTAATTTCTCAGAACTTTCGGGAATTGCTCATCATTTTCTTTCATTCATCTTGAAATGCCATTTTCTGCTTCTATAAACACACAAGCAACCTAACAGGTATTGTCAACAACACAAAGTATGGCACCTAGCCTCAAAACCAATGCAATTTAAATAGGTATCAATATTTTGAAGGCAGGTAGAATCAGTCAGAATGGGAATAATGTTGGTGAATGGGATAATTTTGCTTCCCACCCTCTCTTAAATATGAAGAATGAGAGCCAAATAGAAGGAGAATTCTAAAAGATCAGAGCCAACACTCTGTTATCCTGCAATCCTACGATGTTTGGGAGAGAATTTTGGAGGTCACGGGGAGGAAAAACTCTGAAAAGGGGTTCCAACCTTGCAAAGGGATATCCAACCACAGATCCTTCCTCTCAGCTCCCAGAGAGACCTTCTCTCCCTGACATTAGAATTCTGATGTCATAAATGGCCAAAAGTAGATGCTTCCTTAATTATGCCAAAAAAAGGTCCAAAGCCATGGGAAACTGAATTTCCAGGACCAGAGGCACTTCTCCAAATTAGCTTCTAATTTAGGGTCAAAACCTGGATTCTGCAGAGGTTAATTCACTCCTACAGGAAAACCAACTTAAAAAAAAAAGTTAAATCCTATTATTTTCTTTCTTTTGCCCAACCCAAAAAAATAAGTGACAGGTTCTAAATAGTTTGGAGACTTACAACATTGGGAATCTTTAACAAATGAGGTAGGGTTGCTGATCGTATGCCAAGTCTTACGGAAAATTCCCACCAGATTTCTGATGAAGTAGAAAAAAGGGAAGGACTTTAGAGCAATAGAATGAGTAAAACACTTAAAACTTCTTTCAGGCATTATCCTGGAGCCTCTCTTCTGCCAACGTTGTTCAAATTACTTCCTCCTCCTGCCAAATGTCATATACCAGGTGGATGCCTGCAAGAGACAATCTTCAAGTCCAAGTTTCTAAGTGCTAGGCTAAAGTTTCCTTCAGCATGGGTGTCCTACCACTTTAAGTAAAAGCTTCTTGTTTCCTGGTGCTATATTTTTATTTGGTTGCAACATGAGCCAGAATAAGAGCTACGTCAGAGCTACTCAGGCAAGGACTTTCTGCCGCTCTCCTATAGAATTTGATTCCGCAGAAATCCATGTGTTCAAGCTCATGTGGTCTGAGCACATGTCATCTGGAGCATGGTGACCAGGAACTGCTCATGTGATAAGCAATCCTGATGTTTTTTTTTTTTTTTCTAACAGCTGGACAGAGCTCAGCATGCCAAGCTACCAGATCTGGGCTGCCAAACTCCATCTGACCACTAGGTGACAGCCAAGAAGACAAAAACTCTTAAGTCTACCCCCACCCCACCCCCCACCCCGTATATTACATGAACCTCACTGCATCTTCCAGCTATGCCTATATCTGTGGCTTCTACCAGCATGGGTGTCTTACCACTTTAAATAAAAGCTCCTTGTTTCCTGGTTAATGCATATCATTTCCTTTTAATGACCCCATAACCCCTTGCAGGGTGGAATCTGGCTAACTGAATGGAGCTAGCCGAGTGTTTACTGGCCGGATGCCCTTCCTGTTGCCAATGAGGAGTTTTGTTCAGCAGATATATTCTCCTTGTGCCCAGAGAGAGAAATATATCTGCCTCTACCTAGGATCAAACTCACAGCCTCCTGATTGTGAGGAGAGAGCTCCCCCTCTAGGCCACCGCACCATTCCTGCTTAATGCATATGCTACACTTTTATTTATGAACCGACGTTTAAACACTCAAGTTCCTCTTCCCACAAGGAGAATTAAGCCCTATTCTTTCCATATTAGGAGAGAAAGGGGGAAACCAGCCATGAAATTATCCTTTGCAAAGACTAGGAGTTAATTAAGGCATTTTTTAAAATAATAATAATCATACTAATAGATGTAGATATTGTAACTGTAAGCATTATTTACAGGAAACAGTTAGTAGCAGTACCTGAAAAAAAATGTTTTTTGACCAAAAAAAGTAATCATCCAAAGAGCTACAAGTTACCCAAATACAGATAAATTGGTGGAAAATTTCATTGGCAATGCTGCTCAGAGTAAAAGTGTTTTTTTTAAAAAAATAATACTGCAAATTAAAGATGAGGACCAATATTTGGATTTAAGGCAAACTCTATGGTCAAGTAAAAAAGCAAGCAAGTGACTTGATCTGCAGTGCCAAATTTTAAGGAATTGCCATCCCGTTCCCGATAAGCGTCTATTTTTCACTGTGTGCGCTGCCCAGAAGCACATACACGTGAAACGGGCACCTATATAAACCTAATAAATAAATAAATAAATAACCAATCCGCACTTTTAACAGAAGCAAGCTGAATCGGACTCCTAATGCCAAACAAGCTGAATTCTCTTCAATGAGGACAGAAGCAAAGCAATATAGCGCATCTCTGACTAGTTTTTGGCAAGCATGATGTCCGCTAAGGCAGAGGTGTTCCCCGAACCCCAGTCCGTGGACTGCTACCAGGCTGCGTCTCATTGAGAACCGGGCCACCAAAGTGGCAGGCGAGGGTGCAAAGCTACGTTTGCGTCGGATTTATGTTGTGTGCTTGAAACCGTTCCCCACTCCCCGCCGAATTTTGCCAGCGGCAGGCCACAGAACCAAAAGGGTTGGGGACCTCTGCACTAAGGTATGAAAAACCTGACTGTCAGCTGTGAACTGTAGAGCTACTGCACCTGGACTGCAAATATCCATGTGACCACTAGATGACACAAAAGATTTAAGGTTTTCTGTATTTTGTTGCCACTATAGCAATAGACTTATATACCACTTTATAGTGCTTTACAGCCCTCTCTAAGCGGTTTTACAGAATCAGTCCCTTGCCACCAACAATCTGGGTCCTCATTTTATCCACCTCAGAAGGACGGAAGGCTGAGTCAACCTTGAGCCAGTCAAGATTGAACTGGAAAATTGCAGGCAGCAGATAGTCAGCAGAAGTGGCCTGCAGTAGTGAACTGTAACCACTGCGCCACCAAGGGTCTTCTAGTGGTCATTCAGATTCTTGCCAGCCCACTCTTGAGACCTCTATTCATCCCATTTTATTAGAGTATTTCTTTGAGATGGGAACACCTGCAAAAACTTTTCGAAAGTAGAAAAATTAGGAAATCTTGCTTCATTGTTCCTTCTTTAATCATCTCTTGAACTTAATAGCAATAGCACTTAGACTTATATACCACTTTAAGCCTATTGCCCCCAACAGTCAGGGTCCTCATCTTAGTTACCTCAGTAGGATGGAAGGCTGAGTCAACCTCGAGCCTGGTGGGATTTGAACTGCCAAATTTCAGGCAACCAGCAGTCAGCAGAAATATCCTGCAATACTGCACTCTAACCACTGAGCCACCACAGCTCATAAGTTTAACTTCAATTCATAACTTTAACTCAAACTTTAACAACAAAGTTAGAAGAAGCTGAAGTGAGACAACTCACCACAGCCAACTCACCACTGAACAATTCACCAATGCAGTTGCAGTATTCAAAACAATTAAAAAATGACATTATTTTTTGTCATTCACATCTTCATTTTGTTCCTCCCTTTCTTTAATGGTTCTGTTCCAACACTTCTTCAATATTAATGTAACTTTTGTCCTCCAGTGAGGTGTCCCGCAGTGAATTGGCCGGGGTAGGCTGCGACTGGTTTACACCGGTTTACATCGGTTCGAGCAAACCGGTACGCACAATCAGTCAGCCCTACCCACCTGTATTCTAGCCTGTCCTATATTTCCATGTTTTGAAGCTCAGCTGAGACACGGCACAGTGGATTGCCATGCCTCAGCTGTTTTACTTACCAAACCAGTTGTTAAACCAGTAGAATCCCACCACTGGAGTTGGCCGTGCCAAGATGGCCACACTGAAATGTCCTAGATCTGCTAAAATGCAAATGAGAAAGTGAAGAAAATATACTAGTGCGCTCAGCTAAAATCAGAACATAAATGGAAGCAGACAAAGGGGAAAATATTAAAAACCCGTCATTCATCTATGACGAATGGATTCTCAGAAATTCCTCAAAATCTTTGGGCTCAACATCAGATGAAAGTCACTTGCTGGTGCAATTATATTCTACGGGGGTTCTCGTATAAAAAAAATTGCAGTTTTTAGAAGAATTCTGTGAGATCAAGAAAGCCACACATTCATTGGTGAGTCCTTGATTAAAATATTATCTTTTCTGTCTACAACATTCAGTACTCCAAGGTTTTTACTGACTGGATTGATGTTTGAGTTCACACTAAATAAGTATTTTTTTACTTCAAACCCAAGGGTCTCTCTATGAATTACAGGGATTGTTTTGGGTTTTCCAATTGTTTTTCATTCAATTTTTTTAAATTTTGTTTTTTGTGATGAAAAGCAGAAGGTAAGATGCTGAATAATAATTGGAGATAAGTTTGATGGAAATAAACAGTTATTTTTTAAAACCCTGAAATAAATGCCTGTCAATTCAATTTCAGCTACTGACTGGACCTGTAAACAGTAATTCAGGTGAATGTTTTCATTTATAAAACCCATTTTCCCCACTTGCACAGATAATTAAATGTACCATCCCCCGTTTTTCGGCTTTTACATTGCACAATCGATTCAGATATCTGTTTAACAATATGTAACGTAAGATTCAATTGCATCACACCGCAATATTTGGTTTCTCACACAGCAGGAAAATTAAAATCACTCAAACACCTCTTCAATAAACTACACTCTACACATGAAAAAAGGAAAAGGAAAAAAAATCTAGGAAAAAAAATAATAATTCCTGAACAGAATAGCAGCTTCGTCATCATGCAAAAATTACCCTTGGAAACCAACGTTCAATATATTCACAAAAGACATTTGTATTCACAAACGTTGTGTGTTGAAAACTTTGGAGGACTTTGCAACCGGTGAAAACAGGCTAACATCCCACACGGACATTAACAGCTTGAGCAAGATACTGGGATGAAGTTTGTTTTTTGTTTTTTTTTTAAAAAAAGATTCCATTTTGACATTGCTTGCTTCGAGCTCGCCTTTTTCACAACTTTGCATCCCGTTCATGAAATGATGAAATCCGATTTTTTTTTTTTTTTTAGAAAACAAAGATGATCTGTTATAAGGCATTTTACACCATGGTGAAAAGTCTCGCGGTGTCCAATTCGATGCGCCAGATCGTTGACATCTAGCCCACCACTGCTTCCTAAATAAAACATTTTAGCATTTTTTTCTTTTCTTCTTCATTTAAAAAAAGTCCTTTTGGACTTTAAAACAGGTTGCCACCTTCCGACCATCGTTTTAATTCCCTCTCCCTCCCCTTCTAGAATGTTTTAAATTCCTGGGATTCGGAAACATTTTCAGGTGTGCTAACGCCGTTGCATTGATGGGCTTGAAGTTGGCAGTGGGAGCAATGGTTATGGAAGGAGGAGGAGAAGTCGTGAAGAAGTCTCTGCGTTTTTCTTAAATCACGGTGTTGATTTGACCACCGGCGAACCGGCGTGAAATGAAGTCGAGTTAGTTGAAAGCAGGCATATAAATAATCAGTATTCTAAACCAGAAAGCGAAGGAAATGGCAAGTTTGTTTTCCCCTTTCCTTTTCAAATCAGGTGTTCCAATGTTTAAGGAGTGCAACCCACTCAAAACCGAGTTTGAACGAACAAACAGAAATGGGGGTGATCTTTTAAAAGGGGAGCCCTTTTTGGTTAAACACAGAGTCTTCAAAAGCACACACACAAAAGACTTTGCCCCTCCCAACCCTGCAACTCCACAGTAAAGCACATACAGATTCCAGTTCTGAATGGCCTAGATGATGAAGCATTCACACATGCGTGTTAACGGATCTGACACACCAACATGCAGCTGTGGTGGGTGCCTTCCAGTGCCTTTTCCCCCCTCCCGAGAAGATTTTCGAGTCACTGGGGTCGCCGTGGAATCCGCAGCTGGAGCAGACTGGACCCCCCCCCTTTTTTTTTTCCTTGAATGACAATGGTGGGCTAACATTTTGGCAGGATCTTGGTTGGTTAGATGAGGTTTGGGGTTTCTCGGGGTCATAATTGACAGGGTCTGCTTCCAGATAACATCCAGAGGAGGATAAACTGGATTCCTACCATAGACCAGAGTGATGGACTCAATCCAGAGACTCCACCACACTCTGTTGAATCATCCTGTAGGTAAAAGAGAAAGAGAGGGAGAGGGAGGGAGAGAGAGAGATTAGAATGAGTTGAAACATCAGTAGACAGATATTGACTTCTTACCCAATCATCTTCTCACTGGGAACCCTTTTGTGCAATTTAGTCTCACCAAGTGGGGCCATGTGACCATCAGGCTGTCAACTCGTAAATCATTCCTATAACTGTTTCCGAGTTGACATTAGAAGGGGGGGGGGAAGGCCTGATGGAGCAGTGTGGCAGATGAAGGCCAGAAGCACATTCCATGCTTATCTTGTGGAGATTGTAGCCTAGGCAACTGGATCTTTTGCCCATGAAAATCCTTCATTGGAGAGTGAACATTGTTTTGTTGGAGAATCTGATATATGACATACCCAGGGGGCTGGGGTGGGGGAAACAGGGTCATAGGCAGAGGTGGGATTCTACCAGTTCGCACCTATTCACTAGAACTAGTTGTTAACATTCAAAGCAGTTTGGAGAACCGGTTGTTAGAAGAAATTACTGGCCTAATCCTGTAAGGAAGGCAGGAAGGAAACATTCTGGTGTTGCTTACAGAAACTGCCTCTCTATTAACCCTTATTACATTCTTGGCAGGACTAGACTTCCTATCTCAGGAACCTCTCTGGAGTTTTTTTTTCCCTCCTTTGCTGGTACTTTGCTTGTGTGAAGTGACCATTCAAAGTTACAATGGCACTGAAAAAAGTTACTTATGACCATTTTTCACACTTACGACTGTTGCAGCATCCCCACAGTCATGAGAGGCCAGGCGAGGAGATGCGTGCCTCAATGTGAGTGATATTGAGTTGGCCACACCCAGCCAATAACATGACCACCAAGCCACGTCCACCCAGTCACATGTCTACAAAGCCATGCCCATCACCTAAGTCACGCCCACAGAACTGGTTGTTAAAAATTTTGAATCCCACCTCTAGTTATAGGTGATAGTATATTACATGTCTCAGAGTTGGCTTCATACAGATCAATGCCGGTCATGTTGCTCCTAATAAATCTTTGGGTTTCTTTTGAAACTAGGCTCAAGGCTCATGATTTAATTTGGGCAATTGCCAGAATCCAGACACTGGCTTCTGAACAGACCCTAAAATACTAGTATTCCTGAAGTTAAGAGGAGCAAGTCACCCAATCTACAACTTTCTTACCTGATGTACTCCTTTAGTGGAGACTCCCCAAATTCACCTGCTATACCACCAAGTCACCACCCAGTTTCTAATGACATTACTGTGATCTGGATTGGTCTGGTTTATAATCTATAGATGTGTTTGTTGTGGTTCAGTCACTAAGTCATGTCTGACTTTTGCCATCCCATGGTGTTGTTGCCCATGACTGGTGGAGCTGGCAGCAGAGTCAGACAGTAGTGAGGAGGTTGGGGAGGAACCTGGGCCAGTCTTGGAGGTTGAGGAAGGCTTGGATGAGGGCTCTATATCAGAGGCAGAGATTGGGCCAGGGCGGGCTGGCAGTCATCAGCTGCCTTCAGGCTCAGATAGCAGTGAGGCTAGGGAGCAGCTGGAACAGGTTCCCAGCCTGCGCATGGGCAGAGCTGCTAAAAGAAAGGAGCAATTAAGAACTCAGGGTCGACGTGGGAGCAAAGCCACAAGTGGACAATGAATGGCCTCTCCCATCAGGATTAAAAGAGGAGCAAAAGGGGAGGGGGCTTTTGTAGGAAACAACTTGCTCATTTGGTCATTTGTTTGTTCCAGCCTTGGGGAGATTTGTCGGTAAACCCAGCCTTCCCTGCCAACAGTGAGTGTGGAACTATTTACTGGGAAGCGATCCAGGATTGATAAAAGTCTTGAGATAATTAGTCCACCTTTGTGAGACTGTTTGCCAAGCTGTTGTCTGACTGTGAATGAAATAGTTCACATTAGTGTAAATAAAAAGGTTTTTGCCGGGACTCAGAATTAACTGAGTGCTTTTGGTGAGGCTGAAGACAGAACCCGTGGACTGTCTCTCCACCTTGCCCAAACTCAAGTTCATTGTGTCAATGACACCATCTAATCATCTTATCCTCTGCTATTCCCTTCTTCTTTTGCCTTCCATCTTTCCAAACATCAGGATCTATTCCAAAGTGTCCTCTCTTCTCATTAGGTGGCCAGAGTATTTGAGCTTCTGCTTCCTTACTGTAAATTAGATGCAGAAGTGTTGGGTTGATACAATAGCAAAGAAAGGCAAGGCTTTTGTCAAGCATAAGGAATAAGGAATTGCTCATACACCCAAACACACACAGAGTGAATAATTGTCTAACCCACCGCATGCTATTTGTCTATATTGGAAAAAACGTCATGTTGGTTTTTAAAAATAAATAGCGTGCGTAAGGTCACCTTATTGGTATTCATGTCACATGTAGAACAGTGCCTTGAAATGTAATATAAATGACTCAGAGGAAAGGAAGCTAAAGGAAGCTATTTATTTTCAGAAAGTTCCAAACAAAATCCTTTAGCACTCAGAAGTTTGGAAATAAGGTACTTTTGGAATACCCAATGAGCCGTTAATCATATTTTTTTTTAAAAAAAAATGCAAACAAAATGTATCCTGGGGCTAAGAAAAAAAAAATCTGACTCACCATGCAACTTATTTTAACCACAATATTGTGGAATAGATTGTCCAGCCTTTCTTTGTGAAAAAGTAAGGATGAGCCATGGTTGCTGGTTATCAACCACTGCAGAGATTCAATAAAGAGTTTAAATTATTCTTGTGGTTGGTTGCACAGTCAGCCAGAGGTTTAGACTGGAGTTGGCAGTTTTGTTAACCTATCAAATCCCCTCCAAGGACTTGGGATAAACAGACATGGTTGTTTGGCGGTGTTAGAGGTATCGTGGCAGGTTGTCAGCTGTTCCAACTAAAGCTGTCTTTTGCAATTGACTGATGGGGAATTTGTCAATGCCGATGGGATTCAAATGGTAAGCATGGTGCGGTGGCCTAGAGGTGGAGCTCTCGCCCCACAATCAGGAGGCTGTGAGTTCAATCCTAGATAGAAGCAGATATTTCTCTCTCTGGGCACACTGAGAATATTTTTCTGCTGAAGAAAACTCCTCATTGGCAACAGGAAAGGCATCCAGCCATTCAAACACTCTGCTAGCTCCATTCAGTTGGCCAGAATCCACCCCACAAGGGATTGTGGGGTCGTTAAAAGATGATGATGATGATGATGATGGGATTCAAATGATGCTCCAGATGTTTTGGGATTGCACCCCAGGCACCTAATAAGACTATCTTTACTCTCTTTTGCCATGATTGGTCTACTTGTATTTGCAGGTCTTCGTATTCTATGGGGTTTTCTCCCCAGTTCTTTCTCTTCTCTTCTGCTGTCTCATCCACTATCCAGATGTTTTTGTCTTTTTTTAACCAACTATTTCACATAGTGCAATGTGATGTGAAGCACAGAGAGTATTTATTGACTGAGTATAATAAGGGAGGTGAAATGGGCATCCAAATGAATGGGAAACAAAAACCAGGTTAATTTTTCTGGCAATTCAGAAGGAAGATATTCCTCTTGATTGTGGAGTTACTTGGAATATATGTAAAGTAACTAAAACCAGCTAGCTATAAGAAAACATATTTATGGTTATGAAGATAAACCAATGCCAGATATCACCAACTCATCTTTTCGTGGATTAGAGGAACACAATGTCAATACAAATGAATATCAGATATCTAAATATATATATCTGAAGATAATTAAATGCATTTTTCTTAATGTAGATGTGCAGCAAGCCATGTTTTATCAGAGGTTTTTAGAGCCAGATGACTCCCTCTAGTGATTTTGTAATATGGGCAGAATGAAAGCAAACTCTTCTACAAATGTCCTTAGTCAAAGATATGATTCTCCAGAACGGCTGGAAAGTAAAAATTCATTACAGGTAATCCTTGACTTACAACGGGTTGTTTAGTGACTGTTCAAAGTAACAATGACTGTTCTATTCTATTCTATTCTATCCTATCCTATCCTATCCTATCCTATCCTATCCTATCCCTATTAATCCTATCCTATCCTATCCTATCCTATCCCTATTAATTCTATTCTATCCACATTCTATTCACAGCAATCTGGCATAAAGCAAGCAAAAGACCAGCATTTTCAAGAATATTCGGGGGATTCAAAAAATAGATGTGGAAAACAGCCACACGTTTTGCTTGGACCCGTGCCTAACTCTTGAGATTGGGAGGAGGAATGGGAAGATAACCTGGAGGAATTATGTACGGTAGCATCCTATTGGGTTAGACAAACTGAGGGAGAAAGTTTGCCAATTTAGCTTCTGGGAAAAAATTAGTTTGCAACTAGTGCCACTCCCACAGTTTAATCCTTTGAAACTGCAAGTCATGGAAGACAAATTTAGACTCTCATCTTTGAGAATCTATCTGTATAGAAGTGATACGAGAAAATCACAACCTCGTAATCATCTGTACATTGTGTTTTTATTTTTGTTTTCCTATGTTTTACTTTAGTCAAGAAATGCTGTTGATTCCAATGTTTGTATATTATTAGCAGACAGCACTTCTGAAAACATACAGCTATGTTTTTTCTGGATATTAAGCAAGCCAAGTTATTTTCAGACTGATTATGTTCTTTTAGGTTGCTGATTTGTTGCTGTTACAATTTTATGGCGGATTTTATATTCCACAGTATTCGTTCTACAAACTCAAAGTATTATCTATTTCAGCTGTGCAAACTTTTGAGTGAAGAACAGTTCATTTAAATCATCCTTTTGAGTGGTGTTCAAAAACCACAAATTCAGACTGACTCAACACAATTCTTTGAGTCAAAATGAAAATTCTAATTAAATTGACTCGAATCCTTAAATTATATCTTGGCTGATTCACATATCCATATTGTCTGCATAAATTCAGGGACTATAGCATATGGATGCATAATAGGAACGAGAAGTGGAGCCAGACCAGAAGTTCTATCTTGTCAAATGCTTTCTTAATTGACAACCAGAAGTCCATAGTTAGACCAGGAGATCTTTCTTCTTCAGAAAATGGATAAAAACTGGATTAGGAATGTTAACAGTGTAAAGTCTATGTCCCTTCCTTGAATTATGGTCTATCCCTTCTGCCTCAAAATTAAAGATCTGCAAAAACAATGAAATAAAAATAGAAATTCTAGTGGGGTGATCCCAATAGACCATGAGAGAGTGCGAGAGAGAGCAGAAGGACTGTACATTGGAAGAACAAATAACTGAATCAAGTGAATTGATGCCCCCCCTCCCCCCATTGAAGTAACTAAAGATTTTCTCAGGAAAGGAGAGAGGGGAAGGAAGGAAGGAAGGAAGGAAGGAAGGAAGGAAGGAAGGAAGGAAGGAAGGAAGGAAGGAAGGAAGGAAGGAAGGAAGGAAGGAAGGAAGGAAGGAAATGAAATAAAGGAAAGGAAAGGAAGGGAATGGAGGAGAGGAAAGGAGATGTGGAAAATAGAGTAGAGTAGAGTAGAGTAGAGTAGAGTAGAGTAGAGTAGAGTAGAGTAGAGTAAAGGAAAGGAAGTAAATAGATGGGGAAGGGAAGGAAAGGGAAAAGAAGGGAAAGAAAAGGATTGGATTAGATCTTAATCAGTTCCTAACCTCTTTCTGAGAGAAACCAAGTTCTGAACAATCCTATATCTATCAGTCATCCCTTTCCTAATGTCATCAGTTATATACATTCTTAATTACATTTGTATTCTTGCAAAACAACAACTTTTGGGTTGGGGGAAATGAAACAAAATGCAAAATTAGAGAAAGTAACTGACCATCCACACCACATGAAAACTTGCAGAAAAATGAAGACAGAGGTGGGCGTCATGGCAGTGGCGAAGCTCCTTGTGCAAAGAGGCTGATCCTATTAGTAACGGGGCAAAGTCGCAAACAGAGGAAAGGAAAAGGAACACAGAAAGAAACACACAGAAGATGAAATTTCATGCAAAGTTGGCTGGCCGATAGAAGAGATCATGTGAAAAGCAAAAAAAGGAAAAAGCGAAGAATTTTACAGAGACAACTGAAACGGAAACTTAAGCCAAGATGTCAAAATGCTACCATTACATGACTAAGATAGAGAAGAAGAGCACATCAAGCTAGTAAGCAAGACTCCCTTGTACGTTCAAACACAAGTATCCAGTGTTGCTGATCATGGAGGACCCATTTGTTCCTTCCTATTTGTACCCAGCAAAGCAGAAGTTCTCGTGTGTTAAACATTTTCACGGCTCAAACGTGTGGTTCTGTCACACGGTTCTCACACATAAGTGTTGGTTGCCACCTAAACTGAATGTGTAAATACAAATCTTGGACCGTATGAATGAATGAATGAATTCTTTATTGGCCAAGTGTGATTAGACACACAAGGAATTTGTCTTCGTGCATATGCTCTCAGTGCATATATAAATTTTATGCTGTAAAATTTTGACCTGGGGAAACACCCATGGAATCACAGAATCATAAGTCTCGTGGGGCTAGAAGGGATATTGGATGTCTTCTAGTTTAAACCCACCCACCCACCCAAAGAAAGAGACTTTATTGCATTGTAAAGCAAAGACTGAATATATGTGTGTGTATGTGTTTGTGTGTTTGTGTTCCACCATAACTCTGGAATGCCTCGAGCAATTTCAACCAAACTTGGTACACAGATGGCTTACCCTCTGGAAACAAATACTGTGGGGGTAAGACAACCCTAACATCCCCTGGCGGGGGTATGAGCCTTAAAATGGATTCTACTGTACAGCACAGTGGACTTGCCTTGGGAATGTCTTTACAGTACTCCACAAAGGGGTTCCCTCCTGTGGAGGAATAGAAGAACTGCGATGCTACACGAGAGACAGTACAACAGTGTGAGTCCCGACTACAGGATTTTCCTGTCTAATACAGGATTGGGATAAATAAATGGGCAATGCCGGGTTATCGGCTAGTCCCAAATAAAGATAGAGAACTTTGATTTCACAAGTACTGTGTGTGCCATTTTTTTAAAAAAGGGAAAACATTGTTAAAAAATTCTTTAAATCATGGGTTTTCATGAATGTCATGCTTTGTAAATGGCTGATCTGAATTTCTATGGAGGACTCCTCTGTTGAACAGAGGAAAGTCAAGATAATCTTGGTTTGTGGTATTTTAAAACACAAACACACAAATATGTATGTATGTATGTATGTATGTATGTATGTATGTATGTATATTCTATGGATGACTCCCCTGTTGAACACAGAAAAGTCAAGATAATCTTTGTGTTCCAATATGTGATGTTTTAACACACACACACACACACACACACACATTTGTGTGTGTAGAGTCTCTTTTGTTGCTATCTATCTAGCTTGGATCAAACCTTTTCTGTCAAAGTTAAATATTTCTCCTGAAATTGCTTTGCTGGATTCCAGAAATTGTGAAGACACCAATTTTTATTTTTATTTTAAAAAAATATCGTGGGTACTTCATAACATGAGCAAAATTAAGTAATTATATCTGTGTCATCATGATCCCTACCATCCTTTTACATGGAATCCTCTTTGAAACAGAGAGGCACGGAGTCTCCTCCAGATTCACAAAATGCCCATGAATAAAGAGATTTGGAACAGGGAAGGAATACACAATGCCCATGAGTCAGAAAGGAGAAAAAACAACAACCCCACAATATCTAAAAGTTCAGTTTTCAAGGCTGCTGTAGACACCGTGGAAGATTGCCATGGCTGTGTGTACAGAAAGCCAGCACAGACTGTCTTATTTTTTCTTTTTGAAAAAAGATAGGAATTGTGTGTGAAAGCACAATCGCTGAAAGGCAAGGCAGCTCCAAAAACAAAGGCAGCCATCAGTTTTAAGGTTAATTGTGAGCACATTTTCATTAGAAGGGCTCTGATCTGGAACGGGAGCAGTATGTGTAATGAGAGAGAAAGAGAGAAAGAGAGAGAGAGAGAGAGAGAGGCAGAGTAAAGTCAATTAAAGATGGAAACTGTTCTTAGGAAAGGAGAAATAGAAAAAAAGAAAGACCATATATCTGAAAGAAGAGAAGACTTACTTTAGCGTCATCAAAACAAGCATCCGGTCCTTTCCTGTATCTGGGATGCTGAACCATCTCACAAGGATTCGGTCCTTCATCTACCCATCAGTTAAGGAACACAACACCATTCTCCCTTTGCTTATACTGCACAGCGTGCTGTCCTGCTCACTCACACACACACACATAACTATGGTTTAGTGGGTTTATTGACATTTACTCGCAACTCCCCTCACCCAAAACACAAGACTGCCCCGAGCAGACCAAGGCTACCGAGCAGTGGCCAATATTCACCAGGCACTTGAAAGCTCCCCCATCAAAATAAACCCACCAGAAAAAATTAAATCCACAATGCAAGTGGGGTCCCACGAGGCAAGAAAAGTCCAGAGTTCACAAGGCACGGGGTTAATCCAAAGCAAGGCAAGAATCACAATGACCAGAAAACACACAGCTTGGAAATGAGCACATTGTTCCCAGCATCACTTCAATCAATCAATCAATCACAATAGATCTGGAAGGGACTTTGGTGGTCTTCTAGTCTAACCCCCTGCTCTATACCATTTTAGACAAGTGGCTGTCCAATTTCTGCTTAAAAGTCTCCAGTGATGGAGCACCTACAACTTCTTGTGGCAAGCTGTTCCACTGGTTAATTGTCCTTACTGTGAAGAAGTTTCTCCTTAGTTCCAGGTTGCTTCTCTCCTTGATTAGTTTCCATCCATTGCTGTTTGTCTTGCCTTCTGTTGCTTTGGAGAATAAGTTGACCCCCTCCTCTTTGGGGCAACCTCTCAAATACTGAAAAACTGCTATCATGTCACGCCTAGTCCTTCTTTTCTCTACACTAGCCAAACCCAAATCCTGAAACTGTTCTTCATATGATTTAGTCTCCAGGTCTTTAGTCATCATCTTAGCTCTTCTCTGCGCTTTTTCCAAAGTCTCAGCATCTTTTTTGTAATGTGGTGACCAAAACTGGATGCAGTATTCCAGGTGAGACCTTACTAAATCTTTATAAAATGGGACTAATACTTCACGTGATTTTGATTTTATACCTTTGTTTATACTTAAGGTGAGACTAAATCTCACCATCTCCTGCTAATTGATTCAAAGTCACCTAGCTGGCTTTTCTGCCTATGGTGGGACTAGAACTCCACATCTCATGGTAATTGGCCCAAAGTTACCCAACTGGTTTTTGTGCCTAACACAGGACTAGAATTCACAGTCTCCTGGTTTGTAGCCTCGTGCCTTCACCACTTGACCAAATTGGCTGCTTTTTTAAAAAAATAGTGATATTATTCTAAAACTATGGCTATGTTTTGTCCTGGAGAAGGTCTATTTCTGCCTACATCCTAAAAGTCAATACTGAATACCAGGCTTTGAAATTTTGGACCTAGACAACTTAGAACTACGCCACCTATGGTCTGATCTAAGCTTAGTACACAAAATTGTCTGCTACAATGTCCTACCTGTCAACAACTACTTCAGCTTCAACCACAATAACACACGGGCAAACAAAAGATACAAACTCAAAGTAAACCACTCCAAACTCGATTGCAGAAAATACGACTCTAGCACCAGAGTGGTCAATGCCTGGAACTCACTACCTGACTCTGTTGTTACATCCTCAAACCCCCAAAACTATAACCTGAAACTGTCTACTGTGGACCTCACTCCATTCCTAAGAGGTCTGTAAGGGGGCATGCATAAGCGCACCATCGTGCCTACCATCCCTGTCCTTTTTTTTTTATTAAAGTTTTATTAATTAAAGTTTTATTATTTATTTATAAAATTCAAGTAAAACATCTTTTTTGAAAATAGCTTGGCCCCCGGTTGCACTTCTTTATACAGACACAAACTCAGTTTCATGCTCATTTTTGTGAGTACATTCCTATAATACACACCATATTCTTAAAAAATGGATTGTAAATGTATGTAATTAAAACCCTCATTCCATTCCAATTCAGTTCTATCATTAATATTCATTAAAGTCTTAACATCTTTAACATTATTTTTCAATTAAATATCATACTTCCTTAAAGACATGGAAATCTCCATACTTAATTTTTCCCTTATTTCTCTTCACATATGTTTTATAAATCATTAAATATTCATTTTGTTACATTTATTTATTGACAAGCATTCCACTAAGTTACGATAGCTATTTTATCAAACATTTTAATCATACATTGTTTCATATTTTCTGAAATTATTTCTATTTCTAATATAACAATATTATCTTATGTACTTTTACAGAATCCCTTTTTCAATTAGATTTTCACCCGTTATCTCTAAATAGGCCCTGTTTCTCTATATTTTGTTTCTGTCCTTTATAACTTCTTTTCCTTTCTTTCTTCCCCCTCTTCTTCTCCCTCCCCTTTTTGCCCCCTTGTCTCTCTACTTCTAATTCTTTTCTGCATTTCCCTCTTCTGTTGCTTTCTGATTTTATACTTATTTTTCACTCTATTCTTTTTTGGGGTTGTCTTTCCCAATCTTAAACTTTCCATTCTCTTTTCCCCCTTTCCTTTTTTCCCCCCACCTAAGATTACTTGTTCATTAAAGATGGCTTCTTCTTTGTCCCAATCTTCTTGTTCTGCAGGCATTTCTTGTTGTTTCTCATAGTTCCAAATCTCCGTTTCCAAGAACTGAAATACGAAGCCAAAAGAACCTCTCCCTTCTTGTGCATCTTCTTTGTACTTTTTAAGTTCCATTTTCAGTTCTTCTAAAAGTGGAGCCATTTTAAACACTTTTAAACAACCACTCAATTGATTTTAGTCATTCAAATGCAGTAACCAAGAATCCAGAGATCACCAAATAATCCAAATAGTCCCAAGCTGTTTCTTCTTATTTCTTTTTTCACTTTCTTTTCCTGGGGTTTTAATATTTTGTTGCGATGTTTCAGTTAAGATGTATCTTTTGGAAGTCATGTTGAGATTTTACTGTAAATTCTTTTTAATTCCAGGCAGTCTCCTCCCTTCCAGATCCTGCTGTTTTATTCTTTTTCTCTCCTTTCCTGTTTTCAAAAGCTTTTAATTATCCAGAAATCTTTATTATCCCTTTGACTTTTTATTTTCAGCATTAAATGCCTTTTAATGTCAAAGTGGATTTTTTTTCCAATTCCCTGCTTAAGTCTCTTAGCTGTCAGTACCGGAAGAGAGGAAAAAAAAAACCAAATCTTTTCCCTTTTCTCTCCCCTTCGCTGCTTAGAAATCTTCTTTGGGAACCGTGTTATTATTATTTTTTAATAGTTTCAATTCCAGGGTACCTTATTTGTTGCTTTTGCTGTTTGACCCGGTCAACCAAAACTTTCTCTTCTTATCTTCCTCCTGCACATTCTTTTCTGGTTGAGTTCTTCTTTGTGGTGGCCATTACTGACCACCGCTGCAACCCCCTTCAGGAAAGGGAGTAATGGCCAGCTGAGGAGGAGAGATGCGGCTCTCCTCAACCCTGCAGGCAGTCTCCCCCTTCTTCACCACCTCTACTGGATGTCTTAGCCCTGAAACCAGCCAGCTCAGGGCGCTGCAGTGGCGAGCACGGATCGAAACTGTGCAGAGTCACGGTTTTGGTCTGTCGCTGAAGAAACTCAAACTGGAAGCCGTCCCTGTCCTTCTGATCCCATTTATTCATACTCATTTATGATGTATCTACTTATACCTGTTTATACTTATTCATTTATATGTTATGTTCATACATACTTGTTTTCTCATACATGCTTGACAAACAAACAAATTAAAATGGAACACAAACAATCAACCAGTCAATGGTAATGAACATCTTAAGACCATACAGAAAGGAAGCTGGTATGGAATAACATCGCATCACATCCACACCAGACACAACAACTACTGGTATGGGCTATAGTTTAAAAACAGATTCTCCATCTGTTTCCAATGTTCTTTTTGTAAGCAAATACAAATCCAGTCTCAAGCAGGAAAGGATACCAGGCTTCTCGGCTTGCATCAACGGCCTTGCATCACAATGATGACACAATTCTTTACTGTCACTCATGATGAAAACCAAATTGGTGTTGGAAATCTTCTCTGCATGAAAAAGCCTGAGAAAGCAAAGCCAAACGACACCAAACAGTTTAAAGGCTGAGATCAGGGGTGGGATTCTACCAGTTCACACCTATTCACTAGAACTGGTTGTTAACATTCTAAGCAGTTTGGAGAACCAGTTGTTAGAAGAAAGTACTGGCCTAATCCTGTAAGAAGGGCAGCAAGGAAACATCCTGGTGTTGCTTACAGAAACTGCCTCTCCATTTACCCTTGTTACATTCTTGGCAGGACTAGACTTCCTGTCTTAGGAACCTCTCTGGAGTTCTTTTTCCCCTCCTTTGCTGGTACTTTGCTTGTGTGGAGTGGCCATTCAAAGTTACAATGGCACTGAAAAAAGTGACTTATGACTATTTTTCACATTTACAACTGTTGTAGCATCCCCATAGTCTTGAGTGGCCAAGCAAGGAGATGCGTGCCTCAATGTGAGTGATATTGAGTTGTCACGCCCAGCCAATAACATGACCACCAAGCCACGTCCACCAACTAAGCCATGCCCACAGAACCGATTGTTAAAAAATTTGAATCCCACCCCTGGCTGAGATCCAGAAAATTTCAGTATTAGAACACAAACAAAGGTCCATGCAAATATTGTCTGGAACAATTGCAATAGTGATTTGGCACCGTTGTGTGATAGAGTGCAGCCTGGATTCCAGAGTGGTTTCCAGAGGAGCAAGAGGCAACTCAGCTCAGAGAAATTTGTGTGAGAGAAAGAGGGTGAAGACAGCTCCTCCTTAACAGTTCCCAGAGTATATGCTTTAAGGGAGTGTTAGCATGCTTTTAGTTTGGCAAAATTCTGTCTTTAGGTGAGGAACACTAAAGAAATGTGCACTAAAGAATTGTGAAGAATTTGATCTTCAAAAGAGCACCTATGTAGCCTCTTTCTGCAGTCCCTTAAAAGCAGCAATTCTGCGAGGGGGACACACAACACATGGCTGTTTTATAGGTTGCAAAGCAATCCCAAAGATGCTTTTTCAGGAGGCAACTGGACTTCCTTGTTTCTTTTTGAAGACATTTCGCTTCTCATCCAAGAAGCTTCTTCAGCTCTGACTGAAGAAACTGAAGAAGGTGGGGAATGGAAGGATTTCTATTCCTTGCAGACAGTTGGTCATTTGAATTCTTTTAGAGTGTCATTGAGGCCACTTGGAGGCTTGTCTGTGTCCTCAGGGTCACCTGAACAATGCAAATAGTTCCTGTAGCCTGATTTTTTTTCTGGAAATCCATTCATATGCCCACACCAGATAAGAGATAATAATAACAGATAATCTGAGTTGGAAGAACCTTGTAGGTCATCTAGTTCAACCCAGTCCAAGCAGGACACCCTACACCATTTCCGGTAGATGGGAGTCAGAAATGGTGTAGGGTCTCCTGCTTGGGCAGGGGGTTGGACTAGATGACCTATAAGGTCCCTTCCAACTCTGATTTGAAGGATGTTCATCCCAAAGTTAATAACTAAAAGTATGGAGATTCCAAGCCATCCAGGTCATCATTGTCCCAAAGGTGCTTTTTTCAGGAGGCAACTGGACTTTCTTGTTTTTTCTTTGAAGACATTTTACTTCTCATCCAAGAAGCTTCTTCAGCTCTCCTGAAGAGCTCTCCAGTTGCCCCCTCCTGTCCTTTGGGATAACCATGACCTGGATGACTGAGAATCTCCATATACTGTTGCAAAGCAATGTTTTAACATATTTATGCACCTGTTCTGTTTGCATGTCTATATTTTGAACATTATTAAAGGGGAGGTGAAATGTATTAAGTGGTTTTGAGGTGACACCTACCTAGAACAGTTGATACAGTCCAGAATGCCATTGAAGGATTTATCATCAGACCCGAAGAAATATTGTGTTTGTACTGTGATACAACTCTGTTTGGATGGGAAGCCACTGAAATCCTCTTCTTCCACTTCCACTGTGGAACAAACAACAGGGTCACCTCTGCGTGAAGTTGCTGATGGACACCTCCTCTCTCCCCAGCTTCTTCACTTACCTGCCCCAAGGAAACGTGGGAAGGTCAGCCCCCAGACTAGCTGCTGCAAAATAGACCTAGGTCAACAAACAATGACACAGAACAACCACGTCAGTATCCATTAGAGCAACTCCAGCAATGAAGAATTCTTACATTTCCTGTGCTGTTGATTCAGGGGTGGGCTTCAAAAATTTCAGCAACCGGTTCTCTGCATGGTTGCCGGGTGGTAGGTGTGGCTGTGTGGGCATGGCCTAGTCAGCCTCCTGCACCACGGTGGGGGGGTGGGCAGTTTTCATCCTCCCCAGGCTCTGGAGTCCTGTTTCTGGCCTTCCCGAACTTCCGGGAGGCCCATTTTTCGCCCTCCTCAGGCTTTGCAGGCTTTCTTCGAGCCTCCGGGAAGGCAAAAATGGCCTTCCCTGGACTCTGAAGGCCGTCCAGAAGCTGGAAATGGTGGGCCCATTTCCAGCCTTCTGGAGCCTCTGGGAGGCCGATTTTTCACTCTCCCTGAGCCTCCACATGCACCCTGTATTTACCTGGCATACAAAACAGTCCGTGTGGGGACTCCTGGGAGGGGCAGCGCAGGGTGGGCAGGGCCAGCCAGTGGTGGGATTGCGGGTTCACTGAACTGCATGGAATCTTAGCTAGAGGATCGCCTGAACCCGTGTGAACCCGTAGTAGCCCGCCCCTGTGCTAATTCCATGTTTTGTACACAGGTGGGCCTCGACTTTGTGGCCATTCAGAGTTATGATCCTGAATCTGAAATTCTGGGCTTCCTTGCAATAAGTAAACAATTACAAATCCACCCCCTGCACCCATCGTCGCATCACATGCCCCAATCCCCATTCATCCCAACTTGAGACATCCGCCAGTGGTGGGATTCAAATTTTTCTACTACCGGTTCTGTATGTGTGGCTTGGTGGGCGTGGCAGGGGAAGGATATTGTAAAATCTCCAGTCAGAGGTGGTATTTGCCGGATCTCCGAACTACTCAAAATTTCCACTACCGGTTCTCCAGGACTAGTCAGAACCTGCTGAATACCACCTCTGATGTCCGCTCACCCAGGTGCAGAAATAACATGACCTTGATTTGGAAGAAGAATGCTATTATGTGGTTACATACACTCCAAGAAATTCCCCCCTCCCATTTCCCCAGGCTCAAGAATGTGGCAGCGTGAAAGCATCTGGTGCTAATATGGCTTCCAAAACTGAAGGTACATTCAGCCTGGTTCTGAAGTTCTGATGGTCACCCTTGCCCCCTTCCCATAATCACATCTCTGGATTTTGGTTACTTACCAACAGCCCCCTATTTACAGCAGTTCAACAACATCCTACATTCACATGACTGAAATTTATGATGTTTTTTTTTTTGGGGGGGGGGTCCTGGCATTTACTTCTAGGTTTGCCCAAACCATCCCATATAGGAAACATGCTTGTTTAATGACCACAGATTTGCTTAATGACCGCAGTGATTCTCTTAATGAGCATTGGGGGTGGGGAAGAAGGCATAAAATTAGCCCAATCGCATGGGTGACCTGTTTTACAACTGTCATGACTTACTGTCATAATAGGCAGCCTCTATTAGGGCCGTAAGTTGAGGACCACGTATAGCAAAATGTATACCAATCACAGCAATGAGAGAATTGAGGTTAAGAGCTCAGCTTCAGAAGTTGTGGATGCTCCATCACTGGAAGTTTTTAAGAAAAGAGTGAACAATTGTCTGAAATGGTAGAGGGTCTCCAGCTTGAGCAGGGAGTTGGACTAGAAGATCTCCAAGGTCCCTTCCAGCTCTATTCTGATTGACTGATTGATTGAAATGATGCTGGGAACAACGTGCTAATTTCTTAGCTGGGTGTTTCCTGGTCATTGTTATTCTTGCCTTGCTTTGGATTGACCCCGTGCCTTGTGACCTCTGGACTTTTCTTGCCTCATGGAACCCCACTTGCATTGTGGATTTAATTTTTCCTGGTGGGTTTATTTTGATCGGGAAGCTTTCAAGTGCCTAGTGAACATTGGCCATTGCTCAGTGGACTCACCTTGGTCTGCTCGGGACAGTCTTGTGTTTTGGGTGAAAGGAGTTGCAAGGGAATGTCAATAAACCCACTAAACCACAGGGGTTTTTTTGTGTGTGTGAGTGAGTGGGACAGCACACAAATAACAACGGGTGAAAACTATCAAGGAGAGAAGCAACCTGAAATTAAGAAGAAACTTCCTGACAGTGAGGACGATTAACCAATGGAACAAATTGCCTTCAGAAGTTGTGGATGCCCCATCACTGGAAGTCTTTAAGAAAAGACTGGACAATTGCCTGAAATGGAAGAGGGTCTCCTGTTTGAGCAAAGGGTTGGAGTAGAACAGCGGCCCCCACCTTTTGGGGCACCTGGGACTGGTTGCATGGAGAGAGGTTTCTCCACAGACTGGAGGGGGCATGTCGTAGCCCGGTCCATGGACCGGGAGTTGGGGACCCCTGGACTAGAAGACTTCCAAGGTCCCTCCCAACTCTATTTTAGATCCTATCCTTATGGATTGAGAAAGACATTCATGCGGTTCAAATGTGTAACGACCTTGTCTACAAATTCCAACTTACCAGGCAGCTGCCGACGCCCACCATCCAAGGTGTAAAATATCTGCAATGGTAGGCTAGAAAAAGAGGAAGCAAAGAGCATAATCTTAGAAGAACCTCTAAAAAAAAACACCTATGGATTCTCTCCACCCAACCTCCAGATATTGACTGACTGATTTATTTGTTTTATGGAATTTCACTGCTGTCTCTGATTTAATGGAAGGCTATGTTTTATTAAAGTTTTTCTTAACATGTTAATATTGTGGAGCCCTTACTGTGCCTCTTAATACCCAAACAATTGTCTAAAGAGGTTCTTAATCATACAAGTCAAGATTATCCCTGGGGTACTTTTTCCAAACTTTTGATATATGGTACAAGTTCTTCTGCTTCAGAAGAGGGCTGGACTAGAAGACCTCCAAGATCCCTTCCAGCTCTATTCCATTCCATTCCAATCCAATCCAATCCAATCCAATCTATTCTCTATATTCTATTCCATTCCAATTCTAATTCTATTGTACTTTCTTGATGTTTTCTTTGAAAACATTTCACTTCTCATCCAATAGGTTTCTTTAGTTCATTTCAAAGTCCAGTTGCCTTTTTGAAAAAGCAGCTTTGGGATACTCAAACATTATACAACTGTTGACTCCTAGTGACCACATAGAGATTTTTCTCCATGACATTCTAACCCTAACCTATCCCTGATCCTTCAACACTGCCCAATGGAGCATTCATTGTTACTGTAACTGAGGCCATCATCCATCTTGCTCCTGATTGTCTCTTTTTTTCCCACCTTTTCAAGCATTTCAAAGCTAGTTGGGATCGAACTGCTGGCAGTGGGCAGTGTCAGCCTGCAACACTGCATTCTAACCACTTTGCCACCATGGCTCCTTACACCCTTTGTATGCCCTTCTTCTCCATATGTTCTTATTTTCCTCGGTATTTTATCATTTTAGATTTGACGCCGGCATTAGCTAGCGATCGTAATAAATCCAAAAGCAATATGAATCACATTCCTGTTGCTAACAGAGACATTTGTTCAGCGAGTTTTGTGGAAAGGTGCATTGAGTACTGACCACATTGATGGAGCGGAGTCCTGCTCCTTGTTTCGGTTCATCTTCTGGATCGCAGACTGACTGGTAGTCATAAGACTTGTTGAAGGCATACAAGGACATATTAATGAGATTTCTCATGAGGCCAGGGTCAATCTCTCCAAAGAACTTTCCAATCTAATGCACAAAGAAAGGGAAGTCTTCAAACAGAGGTCAAGTAGCTACTGGATGTGTTTCCTAAAAGATATTGCTTAATTTGTTGTGGCCCGCCAACGGACAGCGGAGCTGGTTGCAGATTCAGACAGTGAGGAGGTTGGGGAAGAACACGGGCCAGTCCTGGAGTATGGTGAAGGCTCTGATGAGTGCTCTGCATTGGAGGCAGAGATGGGGCCAGGGCCGTCTGACAGTTATCAGCTGTCTTCGGAGTTGGGCATCAGTGAGGCAGAAGAACAGCTGGAGCCTGTTCCTGATATGCACATGTGCAGAGCTGCCAGGAGAAGGGAACAGCTAAAGTACAAGGGTTGACTCGGGAGTAAAGCCACAGGTAGATGGTGAATGGCCCCTCCCATAGGGAATAAAAGAGGAGCAAAAGGGGAGTGGAACTTTGCAGGAGACAATTGGTTCGTTTGGGTGAAGATCTGTTCCTGCATTCTTGCCAAGTATTGTCTGCTACAGTGTGGCATCTGAAAGATATCGGCCTGGCAGCTCTCCAAGCCTGATCAAGGTCTGTAGTTATGAAATCTCTTAAAAGACCGTTGTCCGGGACTTTGCTGGAGAGGAATTCACAGTAAACTAAATAAAAGGGGGTTTATCGGGACGAGGAGTCGGCTTCGTACTCTTGAGGAAGCATAGGTCAGAACATAATTAATAAGATATTCTGCATTAGACTTAATTCAGTCACGTACCTCTGGAACGTAGTTATCTTGGTTGGTCATCAAAAGAAAACCTCCATCATCAAGAATGACACAGTCAACGTGCTAGGAGAAAGAAGAATCACAGAGTATAACTAAGTAATTGTTGAAATATATCTTCCAGTTGAATACAGGTAGCTCTCTACTTACGAGCACAATTGAGCCCAACATTTTGGTCGCTAATTTGTCAAGTAAGTTTTGCCCCATTTTTACGACCGTTCTTGCCCCATTTGTTAAGTGAATCACTGCTACTCTTCAGTTAGTAACATGGTTGGTTAAGTGAATCTGGCTTCCCCGTTGTCAGAAGGTCGCAAAAGGGGATCATGTGACACCCCCGGGATACGGCAGCCATCATAAGTGTGAGTCAGTTGCCAAATGTCTGAATTTTGATTGCGTGATCCTGGGGATCTTGCATTAGTTGTGTGAAAAGGGGTCGTAAGTTACTTTTTTCAGCGTCTTTACTTTGAATAGTCACTAAATGAACTGTTCTAAGTCAAAGACTACCTGTATAAACAGAAAAATAATAATGCAAGATCTTATTCACGGATTAGATAATTATGCCTTTTGGAGCATAAAACACTGCCAGTTATCATCTTTGGAAAGCTTTTGGAATAAATTACAATGGAATATCCGTGATAAACTATTAATTTTGCATAATCAAATATTAACATATATTAAATTGTGCTACTCTTCTCGCTCGGGATTCAAGCCAGCTGGATATTGTCAGTTTCAAGAACTTCATGAGAGTTACTATCATTTGATATAAAAGTTGCTCAATTGATCTTTACGGTTACTTTTGGTATCAGAAATGTAAATGTGGCTGCACATTTCATTTGCAACGTGGTTGTGCAAATCATGGACCTGAATGATAGCTAGGGAGTATTAATAATAATAATAATAATAATAATAATAATGTTAATCACGAATGAAGGCGATTATATGTGTCCCAGGATAATATTGCAGGATCCAATCTGAGTCGGTCGCCAGAACCAAAGGTTTTGTCTTCTGAGCTTCTGGATTCGTTCTGGAGTCCATCCTGAGCAAATTTCTCTCTATTGAAATAGGTGCTTTGGGCTATTCTCTGTGTGGTGTTTATATGGTGCGTGTTGTATGTGGGTTTTTAGATGTTGATTGGGGTCTTGATTAACGTATTAATGACTTAATATCCAGCCATCAACACACCCCAATCAACATCTAAAAAGCCACACACAAGAGGCACCATGTAAATATCACACACACACACATACACACACACACACACATCTTAAGCAGTCTCTGGCTGCAAATAGTCCAGCCCAATGCTGTGAGCACCAGGGCTGCAAAATGAAGAGTCCAGAAAGAATTCAGGGAATCCATGAAAGTTCAAACGTCGGGACTCAACACTCCAGGAATTCAGCATTTGTTCCCAACAAATGCCCCTCCCCACAGCATCTCCTTAAGTCTCAGTCCATAGCCGTGCCTTGTGAAGAGGGGTGGGGCGCTCTCCTTCTGGGTAGTCAGGTCAGTCTGCACTGTTCTTGCCTTCTCTCCACTCTCCATCCTCGGGGATCAGAAGGGGGCGGTCCTTACTCATTGCCTGAGCTGTGTCTCTCATCTTCACTGCTTAGCCTGTATTGGTCATCCTGCCCCTCCACTTCCTCCCTGCCTACAAGCCATCCCAATCCTGAAAGGCTGACTTGGCCTGCTCCTCCCTATTTTCCTCCTAAGCTAACAAAGCCGCCCCCCCTTGATCTCAGTCTGCTCCAGTTCTGGCTTGTCTTCCTCTGCACATTCAGGCTCCAACGGGGGCATGACACACTGCTAGACAGAAATTATCTGAGGATGGGTTCCAGCACGAGTCTGAAAGCTCAGAAGACAAAACTTCCAGTCCCGGTGACTGACCCAGATGGGATCTATTGTGGTTTGCCAGCAGCTTGTGTAGACGGAAGCAGAATCGGACAGTGGGGAAGAAAAGGGATCAGTCCGGGAGTCTGAAGAGGATTCAGATGAGGGTCCTGTGTCCAATGCAGAGATGGGGCCAGGACTATCTGGGAGTGGGGTGCTGCCTTTGGAGCCTCCGGAGTCTGGCAGCAGCGAGGCAGAGGAACAAGGGGAGCCTGTTCCCAGTGTGCGTGTTCGCAGAGCTGCTAGAAGGCGAGAGCAACTGAAACAAAAGGGGCAGCTCGGGAGTAAGGCTGGGAGGTGATTGCCCCTCCCATAAGGGATAAAGGACAGGCAAGGATAACGAAACCTTTGCAGGGAGCAAAGTCGTTCATTTGGTTCAGATTCTTGAAGCTCTTTGTACTTCATTTTTTTTTCTAGTTCATTTGACACTTCTGTTATTGGCAGCACTTCACAGGAAAGAAAGGTGGGTGCTTATCTCAAGGAACTATTTGAGATTCATTACCAGTTGGGAATGAAAATAATTCCTAGCATTGCAATAAAACAATTATTATCTCAGAAGCCTTGGACAGAACAGGATCCTGCAATAATATTAATGCTTAACATTGACATGGCTGCTTCGTGAGTCCCAAACTGCATGACATATTTGTCCCATTATAAACCTTTAAAACAGATGAGATGTTAATGATGAATTTATTTGGCTGAAGGAAATCATCTATTGCATCTCTTACCTGACTGTTCTTTTCACATCCGCAAATCTCACTCCCACTTTTACACTGAAAAAAATGTAAGAATCAGTGCATTCATAAAACTATTCCTTTTTTGAAAACAACAAAGGCACAATACGCATGGCATTATCCAAGTGGGGGGATAGTTGCCCAAGAGTAAGCAAATGCTGGAGCAAGAAACCCATAATTTCTTATTTTTACTGCTCTTATGGCAGAGAGTGCAACTTTCTCTTTTGTTACCCTGATACAGCCTTGATCTGCACCATAGATAATGAAATGTCTGGGCCCAAAACCAGGCCCAAACTGGGCTGAAAATGGGGTGAAAATGGGCCAAAAGTGGGCCAAAAACAGGTCCAATACAGACCAAAAAACAGGCCTAAAACTGGACCCAAACTGGGGTGAAAATTGGGTGAAAACAGGCCAAAAACAGGGCTGAAAAACAGGCCAAAAATGGGCCAAAAAACCAGGTCCAAAACCGGACCCAAACCAGGCTGAAAATGGGCCCAAAATTGGCCTGAAAAACAGGCCAAAATGGGCCAAAAAACAGAACAAAAAACAGGTCCAAAACTGGGCCCAAATCGGGGTGAAAATGTGGTGAAAAACAGGCCAAAAACAGGGCTGAAAAACAGGCCAAAAACAGTTCCAAAACCGGACCCAAACCAGACTGAAAATGGGCCAAAATGGGGGGAAAAACGGGGGAAAAACAGGGCTGAAAAACAGACCCAAAATGGCCCCCAAACTGGGCCCAAACCAGGCTGAAAATGGACTGAATATGGCCAAAAATGGGCCAAAAGCAGCCCAAAAAGTGTGCACAATGCTAGGCTGAAAACTGGACTGAAACAGGGCCAAAACCAGGCCATGCAGCCCGTTTTGGCTGGCAGGGTGCTGCAGGAAGCATCTGTCCTGCCCCCGCCCCACCCCCAATGGGCCACAGAGGAGAATTACAATGCCGATCCAGCCTGCAAAGAAATCCCCTGGGTCTAGAAGAAGAACCAGATCTTCAAGCTTTACGGGAGATCAACATGGCGGAAGCCATACAGGCTTTGCTTCAGCTGCTATGATTGTCGAAGGAAGCTCTGGGGAAACTGGAGGTGAAGGAAGCCTCCAAAACTCACCTGGTCTTTAGTGGTGATTGTCGTGAAATTTCTCATCCAGCTGTTCAGGTTGATTTTTACTCCGACAACTGGCAAGAAATACATATAGCATGAGGAAAAAAAATAAATGGATCGACATTGCAAAATGAGATGTGGGTAGTCTTCAGCTTACAATGGTTCGTTTAATGGCTGTTCAAAGTTACAACGGCATGGGAAAATGGGACTTAGGACTGGGTTTTTTTCACTTATGATGTTGCGGCATCCACAGGGTCACGTGATCTAAATTTGGATGCTGGGCAACCGGTTCATATTTATGACAGTCACAAAGTCCCCAGGGTCATGGGATCCCCTTTTGTGACCTTCTGATGAGCAAAGTCAATAGGGAAGCGAGATTCACTTAACAACTGGGCTACTAACTGATCAACTGCACTGATTTGCTTAACTACTATAGCAAGAAAGGTTGTAAAATGGGACAAACTCATTTAACAACATCTTACTTAGCAACAGAAATTTTGGGCTCAATTTTGGTCGTAAGTCAAGGACTACCTTTATCTATCTATCTGTCTATCTATAATCTGTTTCTATTTATCATCTAAATCTATATCTATCTATCATCTGTTTGTCTATCTAATCTATCTATCAACTACTGGTGTATCTATTATCTATATGCATCTATCTATCTACCTACCTATCAGTTATCTAATTATCAGCTATCTATCTATCTATCTATCTATCTATCTATCTATCTATCTATCTATCTCTGATCCTATATATCATCTAAATCTATATTTATCTATCTCTATGTCTATCATCTCTCTATTTATTCTCTCTCTCTCTCTCTCTCTCTCTCTAGTATATCTATCTATTATCTATATTCATCCATCTACCGACCTACCTATCAGTTATCTATCAGCTATATCTATCTACCTACCTATCTATCTAATTACTTGACCTACCTCTAGCTATCTCTAGCTCTCTCCCTCTCTATTTCTCTCTCCCTCTCTCTTGACCTATTGATCAGTCTATAAACCCTATCTATCTATCTATCTATCTATCTATCTATCTATCTATCTATCTATCTATCATCTGTCTGTCTATCTATCTATCTATCTATCTATCTATCTATCTATCTATCTATCTATCT